GGCTTTTATTGTACAGTCAGTGCTATAAAATTTGAGTTTTGTAACTTTGTAGTATTTTAGATAAGGTTGTGTTTGTACTTTGTTGTGTAGAGTAAAGGAATTGAATAAACCTAGGATTATGATGTGGATTGAGTACTGGTTTCACTTTTCTTTAGTTCCCAGAACTACTACGCATAATCATGATTTCTAATGCTAGACCAACTAAAAGTACCTCTCAAAAAATTTAGGTTACACAGGCTGGGATATGGCTCTGGAATAAGCGCTTCCCTGGCAAGTGCAAGGGCCTGAGTTCAATTCCCAGTTCCGCAAAAAATAAAGCAGATGATTTAGGGGCTGGTGAGATGGCTCAGTGGTCTAAAGCGCCTACTTAGAACAAGCTTAGCAAAGCACAGGGACCGGATTCAATCCCCCAGCACCACATGCCAGCCAACCCCGCCCCCTGGTGGGCTGAGCTGGCCACACATAAAAAATTTAGGTTAATATGCCTAAGAGTTTTAGTTTGCTCTTGTGGGCAGACATAGGAAAAAGGGATGTTTTTTACCACCATTTTCCTGAAGAGTTCACTTCTGTCCGAAACACATTTGCTAGTATATAGTACATTAAGTAGCTGTGGAAAAACGTTTTTCTACCTTAAAAATTAGCTTTGAGTCACACATAATGACTCAGCTACGTGACTCAGGCAGAAGGGCGACAAGTTCCAGGCTGGCCTAATTGGTTTAGCAAGACTGCCAAAAAGTGTGTCTGGCTTTTCTTTCGGATCTGCCATCTGTGGTGGAACTGCCAACAAGATGCAGATTTTCGTGAAAACCTTTACGGGGAAGACCATCATGCTTGAGGTTGAGCCCTCGGACACTATAGAAAATGTAAAGGCCAAGATCCAGGATAAGGAAGGAATTCCTCCTGATCAGCAAAGGCTGATCTTTGCTGGTAAGCAACTGGAAGATGGACGTACCTTGTCTGATTACAACATTCAAAAGGAGTCTACCCTTCATCGTGTGTTGAGACTCCGTGGTGCTGCTAAGAAAAGAAGTCTTAGGGGCCGGGGAGATGGCTTAGTAGGATAAGCGCTTGACTGGCAAACGCAAGGATCTGAGTTCAATCCCCGGATCCACCAAAAAAAAAAAAAAAAAGTCTTGCATCACTCCCAAGAAGAATAAGCATAAGAGAAGGAAGGTTAAGTTGGCTGTCCTAAAATACTATAAGGTGGATGAAAATGGCAAAAGTAGTTGTCTTCGTCGAGAGTGCCCCTCAGATGAATGTGGTGCAGGAGTTCTTATGGCCAGCCACTTTGACAGACATTGTGGCAAGTGTTGTCTTGACTGCTTCAACAAACCAGAAGACAAGTAATTATGAGTTAATAAAAAACTTTAGCTAAAAAAAAAAGTGTGTCTGGGGATGTACACCTGGGTTTAGTACCTGTACTGCGAAAATTGGAAGAAGCCACAAGGAAGAACTGGAAATGTTTAAGATGGTACAAGTTGTGGATGCTCAGCTGCTCTTATAGACACCACACTGCCCTTTATGCCCTTTCAGTGCTTATGCAGGTTGGAACAAATACACATTTTAGGGCCTCTCCGCCTGGGCCTGGCCTTACAGCACGCTATCTGCTGTCTATACCACTTTCTGAGGTGGTGACAAGAACCTTAGGCAGCCTCTGGGAGCCAGAGCACCGGACCTTGAACCTGGATGGGGAGGACCCTAACTAAGGAGGCGAGGAGGCTGTGTTCCCCGATAGGGCGGCCGGCTGGCCGGGGCGGGGCAGGGAAGGAGACCAATGGGATAAGGCAGTGCCATGACCCCGGAGGTTGGGCAAGATGGCGCTGGTGGCAGCAAGGGGAACGCTGCTGCGCGCGGGTGCGGGCCGGGCTTGTGACGGGCAAGGGGGTTGGGGGTGGGGAGACACTCGTTGCGCTAACCGTCCCTCCGCCTGATCATGGTCCGTAGGGGTCCGGCTTGGCACAGAGGCTGCGGCCTGTGGCAGGAATGGCACGCGGCGCTCCGCGAGCCACCGGGTGCTGGTGGAACCGGATGCGGCTGCAGGTAAGCTCGGGAGAGGGGAAAGGGCCGAGGGAGCAGGATGAGGACTGCAAACCGCTCCATAGCCCTGTCGACCTTGATCTCTGGAGCCAAGCCATGAAATCAGGTCTTAAATCCACCTCCAGGGACCGCTGTTGAATTTCCAAAAGCAAGAGATAAAGCCCCCACTGGAAACTCACTTTTACTTTGGGCGGTTTAAATGGGTCTTGTTCATTAAAAAAAAGTATTTCTGTTTTTGAATTTGAGTATGTGATGTTATATATACTATTGAATTAGTTAAAAATTATCTCAGCACTTGGAGGTTGAGGCAGGAAGGTCACTGCAAGTTCCAGCCTTGCCTAGACTAGTGCGTTTAAGGCCAGTCTGAACTACATATAGAAATCCTATCTCAAAAAAACATTAAAAGGGGAGGGGGCAGGCCAAATAGCTCAGGGGATTAAAGCACCTGCAAACTGGGCCTGCCATACGCCCCTCGCCCCCCCCCGGGGGGGGAAGCTGGGAGGGCAGTTCAGACTGGGCATGGTGCTAGCCTGTAATCTTGGAAGGCTGTTAACAGGCGGATCACTAGGAGTCCGATCTAGTAGTGAGACCCTGAACACCCTGTAGACCCTTCCCTAAAATATAAAATAAATAAATAAATAACAAAACACAATTTGTTGTTCTTAACCCTCCTACATAGCACAAAAACGAGTTACTATGTTTTGTTTTGTTTTTGTTTTTTGTTTTTTGGTGGAACTGGGGATTGAACTCAGGCTCTTGCGCTTACCAGGGAAGCACTTAATCCACTGAGTCATCTCCCCGCCCCTTTTGTTTTGTTTTTTGCTTTATTTTTGGAGTACTGGGTGTAGAACCCATAGGTTCCACCACAGAGCTACATTTCCAGTCCCTTATGTTTTTGAGATAAGGTCTCACTAAGTTGCCAGACTGGTTTTGAACTTGCAGTCTTGCTGCTTCAGCCTCCCAAAGCAGGAACTATTTTCTTAATTAAAGCCTGAAGCTACAAGTGAGATTATTTCCCACTGCTGCTCTTCTCCCCATTGAGGACCCTCCGGCACAAATAAAAAAGCACTTTGAGGGATCCCTGGGATTTCCCAGTGGAGAAGTGACAGAGCTGGGGTCAGAGACTCAAATTTTTACACTTTGGACAGGCTAACCCATGGCCTCTCATTGCTAGGCTTGGCTCTGTCCAGGAGTCCCAGGTGGAAGCTGCCTCCTGCTCAGACAGACCTACAACCTGGCCCTCCCTCCTTTTCTTGACATGGAGGCTGTATCAGTACTTGCAGATCAAGGTCCCAGGTTCCCTCTACCTCCCAGCTGGGTTCAGTTCTCTATTTGAAGCTGTCTGAGCAAAGTAATGAGAGGTATTGGCCTTAATTGAAACCCAACTCAGAATCCAACAGAATGTTGAGGTTTTGTTTTTTTATTTTTGTTTTTCTTTCTTTTTGTACAGTACTGTGGATTGAACCCAAGGCCTTTTCACAGAGCTACATTCCCCCACCCTTATTTTTTACACTGAGAAAAGATCTTGATAATTTGGGCTCAAACTTGCCATCCTCTGCACCACTCTCCCATGTGCTGGGATTACAGTTGTGCAGCACCATGCCCAGCTTTTGAAGCTGATTTTAGATTCTCTTCAACACGTCATTCAAAAAATTTGATCAGTATCCACCTGTGCCAGGGCAGGAATGCAGTTACCAGGTTGTCAAGATCATCCAACTTCTTTTTTTTTTTTCATCCAACTTCTTAACTCCTGTTCACCTTTGGCTTTTTTACCTTTCACCCAGTGTTACAAGCAGCTACCCTGCCAACTTTAGAGTCAATTTTAGAAACTTCCTGTCTAGCCAAGTTTGTGAAGCTCTTTTATGTGTATCTGTAGCTGGATAATGGTTATTATTACTTCATCCTCATAAATCAAAGGTCCCAAAGACCTTACCTGCCACTAAGATTTAGTTCAGATCCCCAGGGAATAATTTATGCTGACAATCCAGACACTCTAATATCCCAGCTAGGGAAATTCTCCTTAAGTGACTAGCAGTGTTTTGGAAGCCAGCAAGCACTGATCAGTAGTGGGGAGCAAAAACAGGAGCCATTGGCCAACATCTGCATTGTCTCTAGGGGTGGGCCCTTGTCCCTCTTGCATTCTCTGCTCCCAGCAGAATGACTGATGGGCCAAGGACAATGTAAGGACATCTGATCTCAGTGTTTTCACCCTCTGTCTAAATGAGCATGAGGTGAATCCATGCTATTATTTTTCATAGTTAGTCTTTAGATATTTCTTTTTCTTTGTTTAAGACAGTCTCACTATATAGTTCAGGCTGACCTTGAGCTCACTAGGTCAGGCCTAGGCTGGCCTTGAACTTGCAGTGATCCTCCTATCAGCCCAGTAATGGCTGGCATTATAGACCTGTGCCACCATGCCTGCTCCTTAGGCTTTTCTTGCTCATTTCTCAAGGAAGTAAAATATGTCCTCTTCCCACAAGGACTCAGGACTTGTTATTGGGGGGAAAGAACAAAGAACATATTGTTGAAATAGAGATGAGCCAGGCATAAAGACAGGCCTGTGAGAAATAGGCACAAGAGTATGACCAATTCCATCCACTGTCCTTTCACAGGCAGTCAGCATTAGAGAGCATTGGGTTGTATTCCTAATACTAAGGAAGTTAATAATTTTCTGGGCATTGTGGCGCATACCTATAATCCCAGCACTTGGGAAGATGGTCATGATTTTGAGGCCAGCTTGGACTGCCCAGTAATACTCTTTCTCAAAAGAAGTCTGGTGTGGTAACATTGCCTATAATCCTAGCACCTGGGAGGCTGAGACAGGAAGATTGCTATAAATTTATGGCCAGCCTGGGCTACATAGTGAGTTCAGGACCAGCCTGAACTACATAGTGAGACCCTTTCTCAAAAAAACATAGATAGATAGATAGATAGATAGATAGATAGATAGATAGATTTATATATATATTCCTAAAAGAAACAATTCCTAAAACAATTCCTAAAAGATTGACTTTTCCAGAAAACTGTAGCTACACAGTGCATTGCATCTATCATGTTAAAACATGCATTAGACACAAATACAAAAACCATGAAACAATTCACCATCCTTCAACAACTTGAGCAAAGGTAAATGCCTAAGGAACAACATGGATGACTTGCAAAGGAAGGGCTCTTTAAGCACCATTAAAAAAAAAAAAAAAGAGCACAAATGGATGTGTGTTTTCAGTTATACACACTGAA